GAAGTTGGGGGTTAGGTTTGAGGGGGAGTTTGGGAGGGAGGGGTATAAGTTGGGAGAGATGCCTGAGGAGTTTAAGAGGGGGTTGCGGGAGGCGGCGTTGAGGGGACGGTGTGAGAGGTTGGTGGGTGAGGATGGGGTGGAGTGGTTTGTTGATGGGGCGCATACGGAGGATAGTCTTGCTGGCGTTGGGCAGTGGTTTGCGGGCCAGACGGGGGAGGATGATGTGCGGGTTTTGCTGTTCAACCAGCAGGAGAGGGATCCGGCTGTGTTGATGAAGGCTTTGCTCGATGGAGCTAAGGACAGCTCTGAGAGTTCTGGATTCACACATGCAATATTCTCTAGGAACGAGAACGAAGCACCAGGGAAGGATGAGCCGGCACGGGATTTGTCCGTTCAGGAGAAGGCTAGAGAGACATTCCTAGCCTCCGAGGGGAGTGTCACAACAACCATCTACGACGCTTTGCAGCCAGCACTCGAAGAGATCAAGAGCTTCGCTGCCGAAGCAAAGAAGGCTGGCAAGACATGCAAGGTCTTGGTCACGGGCAGCTTCCACCTCGTTGGAGCCGTGTTGAAAAAGATTGATAATGTTGAATATTAGCCCCGAGGCTTCTAGCTACCAAAGTAGTTTATAGATCCCAAAACCATGACACCGCGCTAGCGAGACCTGTATATATGTTGAAGCACCAAGTCGTAAACAAACCAATTGAGCAAGACATGTTGCTGACCCTATCAAAGAGCGTCCGCCTTCTCCAGAATGCCAAGGGCGCCGCCCACCAAGTGCAGACTCCCAGTGATGAGAGCTTGTACCTTCTCTCCGTCCTTGACGGTCTCGGATAAACTCCGTGCTTTGTTGATTGCCTCCTCGATACTGTGAATGACCATTATGTTGGCGTCGGGATCGAGGGTTGACCACTTTTCAGCAAAGATCTTTTGCTGCGTCATCTTCTCGATGTCCTTGGGGTTGTATTGGTGGTTGACAAAGTCTAAGTAAGTCAGTATGCGAACCCCACATCTTCAGAGATGGACATACCTCTCTTGTACCCCGTCTCGGCGTACGTGACATTGGTACAAAAGATAACGTGTTCGAACCCCTTTCCAGCCGGATCGCCCTTTTTGACGGTGTTGCACAGCCCGTCCAAAAAGTCCACGGCTTCGCTCCGCCCCTGCTGGTTGAAGATCAGCACCTTCGGGCCCTTCCTCCCCTCACACTCCTCCACGAACCACCTCGCCGCCATCTTCAAGCTATCGACTGTATGCGCCCCGTCCACATGCCACGAAACGCCCTCCTCCTCCTTCACCTCGCACCGCCCTCTCCAAACCACCTGCTCCAACCCCTCCACAAACTCCTTCGGCAGCGGCCCTTTCGGATCCAACTCATACCCCGCATCCAGCTTCTTCAGCGCCGTCTCCGCCAGCGCCACGGCCAGACTCGCATTCTTCTTCTGAAACACGGCATTCGGCCTCACACTGACCCCCTCCAACCTCCCATCAACCCCCACGACCCTCAAATCCACCCCCTTCTCCTCCGCCCTGGCCCTCAACACCTCCGCCGCCTCCGGCAGCTGCTCCACCATAAACGCCGGACTCCCCGTCTTCATAATCCCCGCCTTGTGCCACGCAATCCGATCCACCGTCTGGCCCAGCACATACACATGATCAATCCCCAGCGTCGAAATCCCGCTCGCCACCGGCCTCTCCACGACATTCGTCGCATCATACTCCCCGCCTATGCCCGTCTCGTACACGGCGGCATCCACTCCCTCGCTCAGAAACACATGGTAGCTCATCAGCGTCAAGTACCGTGCGTAAATCGGCTTCGTGCCCACCTCCACCATCTCCTTTCCCACATCCGAGCTTTCCAACCGATCCCACACCTCAAAGAAATACTTTGCAAACATCTCCTCGGAAATCGGCCGGCTATCAATCCGGATCCTCTCCCTCACCGCAATCAGATGAGGCGACGTGAACAGCCCCACCTTGCGCGGCACGCCTCGAGAAGAACGCGCATACCGGCCCAGGATGGAGTCGACAAAGGCGCAGGTGCTGCCCTTGCCCTTGGTGCCGGCGACGTGGACGATGTGCAGGCGGTCGAGGTCGGCGGGGGTGTAGCCGATGCGGTGCAGGTAGCCGCGGATTTCCTGGACCGAGGTGGCGTCGGGGCGGATGCCGGCCTTGCGGCGGGCTTCGATGATGGCGAAGGGGGTTTGCAGCGAGTTGAGCGCGTCGATGGCGTCGTTGTATGTGCGGGTTGTGGAAGCCATGGTGCGAAGGGTTTTGAGAGTGAGGGTGATGGGAGGAAAGCTGAGATGGGAAAAGTTGACGCACGTGAGATGGGAAAGTGGAAATGCGGTCGTTGACCTCAGTGAGCGTCGCAAGTGGAAGGACGCAGCATGCCGCATTCTATTTTGAGTGCGGTTTTTTTTAAAGGGGAGTTATTCCATCTCTGGCGGCGGAATTTGGAGTAGGGATGAGCCCGCTGCGGTGAGGTGAGTCGTTCGCGATTCACCGCGGTCAGGTCAGCTCGGTTGAAGGGTTTCTTTTCCGCTGCTCTCACTGAGCCGAAGGTGATGTAACCTGGCGGAGATTTCCGCTCGCAGCTTGAAGCGCCGAAGATCGGCCTGCTTCCGCCGGACTTGGCAGGGGTAGTGAACCCAACACTAGGGTCCGAAGCCCTTAGGCCCTATAGCACCCACAATTCCACTGCAAGTTAGCACATACGACCATACCCACTGGAAAGCTCGGGATCCCGTCCGCTCTCCCATAGATAAGCCAGTGAGGGCCAGACTAGTAGTTGGGTCGGTGACGACCAGCGAATCCCTGGTGTTGTATGTTTTATTTTTACACTTTTTGCTACCTCTATTCTATCTGCTCAGTGTTTTTAAGGCACTGTCGGATTACCCACGATGAGGGAAACGCCAGGTTCCCAATGCCATTTATCTGAACATTCAATTTTGCGTTCCAGGGGCAGCGCGATGATGCAAATGGGAATCTGGGGTATCGGAGATCGACGGCCGAAAAGGGGAATTTGGACCCTGAACTCAACTCTCAGCCGCAGCGCTACGCGGTTTGCGCGATGCGAGACAGGCAATCTCCATTGCAGCCACATTACGCCACCAATGTTGAGCAGGGAGGCAGAAGTTGTGCCAAAACAGATGGGTTGGCGCGGTAGAAGAAGGGACCAGCTCCATTTGCCCATTATAGTTCTTATATTGTCACATGTAGGGCATTCATTCGTTCACTAGCCCTCGACAATGCGACTCTTCCAGGTCCTTGCCGTCGTCGGCGTCGGGCTGCCGTTGGCAGCAGCCATCCGCCCTCCATTTCTCAACCAGTGCTCTGTCGAAGCCGCCCTCAAGTACTTTACCTGCTCTCGTTATGTGTCCCCGCTCTGTGTGCAAGACCTCAAGGCCCAGGCGGTTGAGTTCTGCGAAGACTTCCTCGCCGCCGAGCCTGTCACCACGACGCTTACCACCGTGACCCCTATCGAGTCATTTACCGTCACCGAGACGTCCATCACGTCCACAACCACCACCGAACTGACGACCACGACCGAGACGTCGACAACTTGGAGCACCTCCTTCACCACCACAGACGTCACCTCCACAACAATCGCGCCCTTCCCCGCCGTCACCGAGAAGAAGCGCGGCGTGCAGCCGATATGCTCCTCCCTCGTCAGCGAGAATCTCATCCACCACCCGGCATCCCGCCTCTCCCGCGCCTGTAGCTGTCTCGGCGTGACCGCAACAACATCCACCGTAACCGTGTCAGCAGTAACAGCTTCGCCATCCACCGTCTTCGTCACCAGCACCACCGTCTCCACCCTCATCCTCTCCTCCACAGAAACCTCAACCGCAACCTCCGTCGAAACCTCCGTCTCAGGCACAACCGTCACCTCGGTCCGTCCCCCATCCTCCCCCCGTAATCACCGCACTAACACCCCCCAGACCGCCCTCGCCACATTCACGCCCCCCGCGTACTGCCAAAATCCACCCCTCTCCGGCATCTTCAGCGCCGGCCAAGGAAACTCCTTCCAACCGGCAGTCTTCGCGGCCACGCCAACGGAATGCTGCATCAAGTGCTACATGGCGCTCAACTGCGTCGGGGCGGGCTTCAATTTGAATGGCCAGGAGTGCTTTTTACTCGTCAAGACGGCGCGCCAGGAAGGCACGGGGTCTTCGGAGCAGTGTCCCTTGGGTTTCGACAATACGAGTAGCTTGAGTCCTCCGGATGAGGGGAATGTGGAGGGGGCGTTTGCGGGGCCTTGTAGGCTTTAGGTTGGGATGGGAGGGTGGTGTTGGGGGTTAAGAGGGAGGGGGAGGTTGAAGGGGCGAGGCTCAGTCTCTTGGAGCGAGATATTGTGGTAGGTATGCAGTGCTACCAGGCACTGCCCTGTTGGGTGTGAGTCTGGTACGCAGAGCCTATGAGGGCTCCTTCTGGACTGCGGGCTGAATGGATACTGTTCGAGATCAAAATGCTTCTCAGACTGAGATTGCGCTGCCAAGGAGATGATGCTCAACCACTCAGCAAGGTGGTGATGTGTGATGGTAACTCAACAGCGGAGTTTACCGTGGGGTTGCGGTGCATGAACCGCCGAAAATCGGCCTGGATCTGCCCCTCGTGCCCCCAACTTTGGGTCGCAGAGCGGCAGCCTGAGCCAGACTTCCACCACGCGTCTTTGGGCTCGGGCGGGATGAGGTATTGAGAAAGGAAAGAAGAGAGGGATCGACTTCGTGTCGCAAGGGCAACGGAGCATGCTGGCGGAGAATTGGGTGGGCAATAGCAATAACTACCTATGCAATAATCAGAAAGGAAGATAAAGCGGAAGGCAAAACTCCGCCAAGCGCTGGTGATGCCGAAATCTAGGGCTTCGTGCTTACGGTGATGAGTCAACGGAGATGAGGAAAGAATTGCCAGACTGTCGTCAGAAGAGGGCAAGCCTCGGAGGGGCAAAAGAGGGGTCCAGCCCTCCAGGCAAAAATGAAAAACGCCGCAAAAAATGATGATGAGAGTGGGATTCGAACCCACGCCAGATTTCTCTGACTAGGAAACATTCACAGGAATGTAATTCAGGTGTTCCTGAACCTAGCGCCTTGGACCGCTCGGCCATCTCACCATTGCGTCCAATTGTTGGGAATGAGGGGTTGGAAAGGGCATCAAGGCGTGGTGGGGTGACGCAGGATGTGGGTGGATTTTGGGGGGGCGATTTAGGCGCGGTTACCCTGGAAGTGGGGCTGGAGATTTCCCCTTAGCGCAACCCCACTGCCATAACAGCCGCGCATGCACGAGCCACTCAGCGGTTCACCCACTGGACTGGGAATGAACCCGTTTTTCTTGTTCTCGATTCTTCAATGGCATCATCAGCGGTTGAACACACAGCGGTGACATGCTTGATTGTTCTTTGCATCTGTTTGCCTTGCACCACTTCATGCAAGAAATCACCGATCTCGATCTCCCGTCGGATAGACAACGAAATCGTGCGGGGAAGCCGAAATAAACCGACCGCATGAGGGGTAGAGCTCGGCCTCACTCGGTATCTGCATCACCGACGACACAATCATCAAGAATAAGCCTCAACAGGTGGAAGACGCAGTTCGCTACTCTAGCATAAGGGATCGGATAGCTTGGCCATGCGAAGGCGGCTCCTTCATTTACTTCAGAGCAAGTTTGCGTCTAATTTGGGGCTACAGTCATCACAGATAGCTGCTCACCGAGACGAAAGCTCAACACCAAGAATGGCGGTCCGAGGTGCGATTACGGAGTGATAAGATAGACGGCGGAAGCTACCACAGCTGCGCCAGACAACCTGCTGAAGCGAGCGGACTTGATGCAACGGCAAGGTACACGCTCCCCAGCCGCAACCACCTGGGCCACATTGCCTGCAGTATGAAGTACGTAGCGACGCTGTTTGCGACAATGGCGTCAGACGAACTCAAGGCGATGGTGTCGAGAACCTCATATTTGTTGAGCGGTTCTCGACCTTCCCCTGACTCCTCGGCGGGCACCTCCCTCCAGCTCCCTGACTGCATCAGTTCCACAATGACACAAAACCTAATTGATCGCAATCTGCCGAAGACTCCTCACCCCTCAATGGATTGCCACCACAGCATGCATGGTGCTTCTCATCAACTCAACTCGATTCGAAGACGCGACATCCCACAGCTGAGCTCCGCAATCGCAGCGGCCCACATCCCGCGAATTGTCCCGCCATGGCACTCCCCGCCGGCCTGCTCGGCCAAACCAGCTGCTTGGGCCTTCCTCGTACTCGCCCCTGACCGCTGGACTGCGTCCAATTCTTCCTTGCAAGTCCCAACAAGGGCAGAAGAATCTGCTCCTCAGCTGATGGCCCTTCATCACGGCTTCTCTCAGCAGCGGATACTGAGCGGACTTGGGCGGGGTCGCTGATTGGCGCGGGTAAATGGTCTGGATAAATGGCGAGCTGCCAGGTGCGCGACAAGCTTCGGGAACTGGCGGGCAGCGGCGGCAGAGTTGCTTCACCACCAAACCATGGCGTAATTGGATATAGCACGGCGCTCTGGCCGTGGTAACCACGCGGTAGTGTGGAGGAGCGGTGGGGGGCACAGCATGGACACCACGGTCACTGCATCGCATTTCGCTGCGATTCCAGGCTGATGCGCGGCCGGACCTGGCAACGCAACCTGCAACCAGACCACAACCAGTCTGGTCTGGCACTGGTCCTGACGGGGGGAGCTCCAAGCTCCCCGCATTGGAACCAAGCTCCCCTCGCCTTCGCCCCTCGACGCGGAAGAAAAGAAAAGGAAGGGGGTGAGGGGCGACGTGCCCTGCCTGGCCATCTCCGACCAGCGGTGCTTGCCTTGTGCCTGTCAGCGACCGGCCTATTTATTCCCTTTCTCCTCGTCCTGTTGTCCCCGTCTTGGTGTTCTGCCTTTCCTCCTCGTCGATCCTCCTCCTGCGTGGCTATCCCCAAGTGCCGTCATCGAACGTCATCTGTGCTGCCCCTCCCCCACATCTCGACTACCAGAACCGCTACAATGGCGACAGGCTCAGTACGCCCCCAATTCTTGCTGTGCCATCCAATTGCCGTTCTCAAGGCTAACCATTATTAGAACCTCTCCTTCGTCCTCAACAAGCCCGACGATGTAGAGTTCAAGGAGAAGCCGGTGCCGAAGCTCAAGTCGCAGCGCGAAGTGCTTGTAGCCGTCAACTATACCGGGATCTGCGGATCCGATGTGCACTACTGGGTGCACGGCTCCATTGGCCACTTCATCGTGAAGGAGCCTATGGTTCTCGGGCACGAGTCCGCTGGCACCGTTATCGAGGTCGGGTCTGATGTGAAGACCCTCAAGGTCGGCGACCGCGTCGCCCTCGAGCCCGGCTACCCTTGCCGCCACTGCGCCAACTGCCTCGGCGGGCACTACAACCTGTGCCCTGATATGGCCTTCGCGGCCACCCCCCCTTACGATGGTACCCTCACCGGGTACTGGAACGCCCCGGCAGACTTCTGCTATAAGCTGCCGGACAATGTGTCCCTCCAGGAGGGCGCTCTCATCGAACCCCTTGCCGTCGGCGTCCACGTCGTCCGCCAAGCCCAGGTCACGCCTGGCCAGTCCGTTGTCGTCATGGGCGCCGGCCCCGTCGGTCTCCTCTGCGCTGCCGTTGCGCGTGCTTTCGGCGCCACCAAGGTTGTCCAGGTGGACATCATCCAGGAGAAGCTGGACTTTGCTCTTGGGTTTGGCGCCACGCACGCCTACCTCTCCAAGCGCGTCTCCCCCGAGGAGAACGCCCGCAACATCATCGAGCTCGCCGACCTTGGCGCAGGTGCCGACGTCGTCATTGATGCCTCCGGCGCTGAGCCCTCCATCCAGGCCTGCGTCCACACCGTCCGCGTTGGCGGTAGCTACGTCCAGGCCGGCATGGGGAAGGATAACATCACCTTCCCCATTGCTGCCTTGTGCATCAAGGAGGTCACCGCTCGTGGCTCTTTCCGCTACGGCAGTGGCGACTACAAGCTTGCTATTGAGCTTGTTGCGGCGGGCAAGATCGACGTTAAGAAGCTCGTCGATGGTGTTGTGCCCTTCTCCCAGGCGGAGGATGCCTTCAAGAAGGTCAAGGAGGGTAAGGTGATTAAGATTTTGATCGCCGGCCCCAACGAGAAGGACGTCGTCTCCACCTTTGAGGAGGACAAGGTCGAGAAGGTTGAGGAGAAGGTCGAGGCAAAGGCGGAGGAGCCCAAGCCTGTTGAGCCTATTGCTGCCGCCCAGGTTGGAGAGGCACCTAAGGCGGAGGAGACCAAGGCCGAAGAGCCTAAGGCCGAGGAGCCCAAGGTCGAGGACCTCAAAGTTGAGGAGTTGAAGATCGAGGAACCCAAGGCTGAAGAGGCTAAGGTTGAGGAGCCCAAGGCCGAAGAACCCAAGGCCGAGGAGGCTAAGGTCGAGGAAGCTAAGGTGGAGGAGGTCAAGGCTGAGGAGGCACAACCCGAGGCACCCAAGGCTGAGGCACCCAAAGCCGATGAGCCCAAAGTTGAAGAGCCGAAGCCCGAGGAGAAATCCACCTACGGACACGGCGGCGGCTGCTGCTGACTCTAAGTCGCCCTTTGTAACCTTTCTTTCTTGGGCATTATTCACATGGCGTTCCGGCGGTTGACGGGATGGACATAGCATTGGACGGCAGTTATCGTATTTGCTTTGGGGTGGCAGTCATTCATCTAGCGACTTCTTCAACTTCTATACCAATGTACAGCATGATGGGATTAATGAAGATATAACAGATATTTGTAACATGTGCAGGAGTGCTTGCTGAACTGTGGGCTGTTTCGGGTGTGGGGGCGATGACTATCATCAATGTTGCTAGGGGTCGTGGGGTGTTCCAGGTTGTTGCGAGAAATGTACAATCCAGTCCCTGTTTTATTGTTAGTGACGTTCCACAGAAAGTTTGCCATCCCAAAATCCTAAAATCCAACTTCCACGCTCCACGACCAAAATCCAAACTGTTCAAAAGGCTCGAAAGAAAGAAATACTTTGATAACATTCTCCTCTTTATTTTTCTGCGTCAAAAACGCTTTTCTCGTCGTGAAATCATGGATTTTCGAAAATATGGTAGGGCCCCTGTCCGAAGCACCAAGCTAACAATAATTCAGGGGTTATATTGTAGGAACAACGGCACCCCCCAACGAGTAATCACTGCAATTTTAGGCTCTAACAGGAGGCAGTTGCCGTGCATTGGATGGGGGCATTCCACTTGGACTCCTCCAATGCCACCTCAAGGATTGGATAGCTGATCGCTGCGGAGTTGCCGGTATTGCAACTAAAACAACTCAAGTTGAGTGTGGCTGGTCATTTAAGATTCGGCTGAGATTCTTCTAGTTTGTGGGAGACAGTTCGTCAAAGAGTAGAAGAAGTGTGGATATGCTGGTAAAACTGATGAAGATAAATCTCAATTCTAACTCCTGAATCTAAATAAATAAATAGCTGAAACATCAATATCTCAAACACATTGCGCTGCTCTATCAATGCGTCTCATATTTCTCATTCTCAGGCCATCGTGCCAACCCCTCCTTCTTCTTCGCCAACACACCTGACACCGCACACCTACAACATCCCCAGATACCTCGTTTCCACCTTCGTCCCCTCCTTCGCCCCCCTCACCCCAATCCTCACCACCTCCCCAGGAACCAGATCCACCAAGTTATCATCAAACTTGACCTCATCATCCTCACACTCGACTGCCACACCCTTCACCGGAACCTCCGCGCTAACCTCCACCGCCGTTCTGTCCGCAGTCAACTCGGCCTTGAGCGCCTTCGGTTTCTGCAAGTGCAGATACTTGAGCGGTTCAGGCCAATTGGCATACCTCGCAATCTGCTCGCCGCTCTGCGCGTCCACCAGATACGCAGCAAAAACAGTGCGGTTCTCCTCGCCCTTCCCGGGATTTCTAACAGGGACGTCGAATGCCCCAATCTCAGTGGATCGATTCTCAGGGAGGGAAACGCCCTTTTCGATGCGCTCAAAAGTCTGCTCTGCCGTCTCGACGTCCCAGGCGCGGTAGACGACATCGACGGTGAGATCTTCAAGCGTGAGGTTGGAGCCCCAAACTTCGATGCGGATGGAGGTGTCGATGTAAACACGCGTGTACTTG